TGCTGTTTCCTACCTCATCACTTCACAGGTCGTGTGGATACCTTATAATAACTAAGCAATCCTAATTCCTACTCAATCTATAAATATATTGTCTATAGAGGCTAAATGTATTTCGAACACATTGTTATCTACTCGATCAATCAAGAAGAATTAAGTTTTCTATATTTTCACTTATTCATTCTCTGGGGCTCTGTTGTTTTCTTCCTTTTTTATATAGATTCAAGTTTCTGACATATATGATTTTCTTTTATTCTAAAGAGTTTTTAAAAACATTTCTTGTAAGTCAGGTCTACTGGCAACAAAGTTCCTTGGTTATTGTTTGTCTTTTAAAAATTTTGTTTCTCCTTCACTTTTGAAGTATAATTTCACAGGGTATTATTCTGAGTTGATATGTTTTTCTTTTCATTTATTTATTTATACATTTAATCCTCACCCAAAGATATGTTCATTGATTTGAGAAAGAAACATCAATGTGAGAGAGACACATTGATTGGTTGCTTTCTGTACACTCCCTGACCAGGGATTGAACCCGCAACCTAGGTATCTGCCCTGACTGGGGATGGAATCCACAACCTTTTGGTGTACAGTCGTCCCTCGCTATACTGCAGTTCACTTATGGCAGTAACCCATGATACAGTGAAGCCACAATAAGTGAACCATGATACAGTGAGGGATGACTGTACACTTCACTGGTGAGTACCCATATAGAATTTTATATGTTGTTAAAATTACATAGGTTTAAGAGTGTAGAAAGTGTTTAAGAGCATATGAAGTGTTTGTAAGAGTGTGGGAAAGGTTAATAAGAGAGTGGGAAAGGTTTATAGGAGTGCGGGAAGTGTTTATAAAGCCTTAAAATATATACAAATAATAAAATAAATATAACACCGCTACTTCATGGATTTCCACCTATCGTGGGGGTCTCTACAATGTACCTATCCTGAGATAGGTAAGGGATCACTGTACTGGGCAACATTCCAACAAACTGAGCTACCACCCTTACCCCCTTGAGTGTGAAGTGGACTTAGAGATTCACTTCCAAAAATATAGTGTGGACAATACAATGTACAGGTGATGTATTACAGAATCATATACCTGAAACTTATATAATTTTATTACCAGTCACTCCAAAAAATTCAATTAAAAAAAAGAAAAATATAGTGTGGAAAAGAAAAGTGATAACTTTAAAAAATAATTCTGCCAAACACTATCTTAGCTAATTGAAGAAGGTTGACACACCCACCGATAACTCACATTGCCGTCATGTACCCCTGGATACACATAATATCACCTAAACATGCAACTCCATTGTAGTCTTAACAGATCATCTGAGAAACTCAAATACACTGGCAGTGTACAAAATATCTGACCAAAAGTCTTTGAAGTGTAAAAAGATAATTGAAAAGGGAAAGACTGAGAAATTATCATAGATCATAAAAAAAAAACTAAGGAAACATGATGACTAAATGAAACATGGTATCATGGATTAAATCCTGGAACAGAAAAATTACATCAGTAGAAAAATGGTGAAATCTAAAGTCTGTAGTTAATTGTCATATATAATGCTGATTTCTTAGTTTTAAAAAACACACCATGTTTAATATTAATGGTATTTGGTATCTGGGAATTCTCTATATTTTTTGCATCTTTTTTATAAATCTAAAATCATTCCAAAATAAACATTTATTTAAAAAGACTAGAAAGGAAGCATACAGAAATATCTGTCTCTAGTGAATAGCAAAAGGTTGGGTAAACAACAATTTGTTATTAATAATTACCTCCAAGGAGAGGGGTGAGAAGAGATAGGAGAGTAAGTGGCTATTACTAGTTACTCATTGTAATTGTATTTTTAGAAAGCATTTCCACTTATGATACATCTATATATTACTGTGGAAAACCATTTTTAAAAAGTATTTGAAAACTAAAGTTGTCAGGTTTCTGATGGTAAATGGCTCTGTTTGCCCTAATGGACAATGCTTTTTGAATCTTCGAGAGAAATAATTCCATATGTGGTCACTGTTGGAAAAAATAAAATTTATTGTCTTTTATGTCAGTTGAGGTTCACAGATCATTTCTTGTTGATAAATCAGAGAATCGGTCCCAAGTAAATGAGACCCCAGGAGACAGCCAAAATTCTCAAGCACATTCAAGCAGCCCAGGAGAATAAGGTCCTGGAGAAGCAGGGCAATCTTTCCTCACAGGGCCTTGCACAATAGATGGGAAAAATCAGGTAATGAATGCCTAGGGGTCCACCTCCTCTGTGGCTTTCTGTTTGCCTCAAGAGTCCCCTGGGACACTGGCTGTTGTCATTGTACTTGTAATGGTGCATATGAACTCATATGCACTGCCTGCCGGTGGAATCCCAGTGCTTGAGGCTCTCTACCCCTAGCCCCTCAGGAGGAGCCGGCTGCAGCACAGCTTGGGAAGCCTGATGAGCTGAGCAAAAAGCCAGTGTGTGTAGGGACCGGGCATAGGTAACTGAGAAAAAATGGACCTGGCTTCCAAGAATCCTATCTGCTGTTTTGCTCCTCTCCAGGGTAGTGTGTTCTCTCAACAGAGTCCTTTGTAGCAACTTGAAAAACCCGGGAAGAATATTTAGTTCAATTAACTAGGTGCAACTTGAAAAAAACATGGGACATGTTGGAAATGTGTGAGAAATAAGAGATGGGAGGAACCGGATGCTCAGCCCCAAGTTCCTTTGTTTGATGCTGCGCTTATGGGTGGGAGGGCTGACTCAGATCCACTGCAGCCCCAGGGTGGGGGTGGGGAGGGAGGCAGGAGTGGGGTTTTTAAAAGAAAAAGCAGGGTTTGTGGGGGAATAGGGGAGGGGTTAGTCTGTCGTTCTTCCAGGCGGGTGCCTCAGGGTTCCAGAATGTGAGTCGGGACTATGGGTTAAGTAAAGGGCAGGCTGATCATTGACCATTGCAGCTGGCTGGCGCCAAATGTCTATTGTGCACCTTGCGAGAGTTTCGATTAAGCCATAGGCTATCAAGCCAGTTGGGATAACTGAGTCATGGGCAGTCCAGGGGGTTGGAAAACTGGCCTGACCCTTTCAGGACAAACCTTTAGAACATGTTTACTGCATCTTCTTGGACCTGGTTCTTTCGTCCACTTCTACCTCTGTGTCCACGCCCTCTACCAGGACAGTCCGTAGTCAGCAGAAGGGAAGACATAATAATTGGATCCCAGAAGTAAACGAACCTAATGAACAGCAGAGAAGCAGCACTAACAGTAAATCCTCAATGCCCTGGCTGGGTGGCTCAGTTGGTTGCAGCATTGTCCCATAGACGGAAAAATCGTGTTCAATCCGGGTCAGGGCACATGCTCTGGTTACGAGCCTGACTTCTGGTGGGGGGCGCATAAGAGAGGCAACCAATGAATACGTCTTTCTCACATCCATGTGTCTGTCTGTCTGTGTCTCTCTCCCCTTTCCTGTAAAAGCCAGGAAAAAATTTTCTGAGGTGAGGATTAAAAAACAAACAAAGCAGTAAATCCTCAGCGTATCTTCGTGTTTAATAGGAATTTATTTCTCACCAGCCACGCACCTGGGGGCATCACTGACTAGTGGTGGTAGGGATGGTGGGGACATCCTCAGGGACTTGCCCTGGCCCAAGCAGAGTTTTCCTTTCAAAGTCTGTTTCTTGCCCCACCCTCCACTGCATGTTCCTACCCTGTTGTGGATCTATGTTTTCTTAATGACGAAACATCCCATGATTAATTCCTTCCAACCTGTTCCAAGCTGCTTAGAGTAGAAAATTCTCCATTTCTACTTTCCAAAACTGGTAGCCAGGGGTGTCCTCCCTCCTGACACAATGTGACTTCTCATTTATAGCTTATGGAATCTGATTTAATTATTTCTGAATTTATCTTGATGTGGTTCGTAATGAGTTTTATCAACAAATCTAAGAAAACACAACACTGACATCAGTCCATGGCTGGTGGTCGTGTACTATTTCAGAAAATGACCTCCCAAGTACCGCTCCTGCACCAGACCAAGAGGCTCCTCCTAGTGCACAGCCACCAGTGCTTTCTTCCACAGCTGGAGCAACCAGCTCCAGAGAAGAAGGCTGCTAAAAAAACGTTTGTGTTCATCTGTTGTGTGCCTACCCATGGATATACTAAATGGCTACGTATGACCTCAGGCTCACCAAAAAGCAATTAATTTGTGATCATAAAGAAATCCATAGGTCTTCATTACTGGGGCTAATACAACACAGTAAACAGAAGACTAAGAATTAAATTATGAAACATCTGAAAACCAGCTTCCAGACCACAAAATCGAGGGGAGTGGTGGTAGGAGCTTTGAGAAACAATAGATCATATTAATCACTTGCAAGTCCTCCTTCACTCCCCAACTTTTTATGGTTCATTGTGGGTGGAGTTTACTTTCCCACCAAATTGATGTTGGGCTTTTTTTGTGTGTGTGACTGGCTTCAGTTTGTGGAATGTGGTTGAAAGTGATAGATTTAACATAGACATAGAAGAAACTGTTGGTTGCCAGAGGGGCAGGAGGTTGGGCTGGGTAAAAGAGATGAAGGGATTAAGAAGTACAGATTGTTAGTTACAGAATAGTCACAGGGATATAAAATACAGAATAGGAAATAGAGTCAATAATATTGTAATAACTATCTATGGTACCAGGTGGGTACTGGAAATATTCTATAAAGTATATAATTGTCTAACCAGTATGCCATACACCTAAAACTAATATAAAATAATATTAGGGAAAAAAGGTAGTGAGAGAATTAATTCTGAGCTCAGGCCTTAGAAAAATCACGTCATTTTGTTATTATATTGCCCCCTTTTGGCTTCTGCCATCTTCCCTGAGAAGAGCAAACCCCAGAGTGAGATGTGTATCTGTACCTGACCTGCTACCTAATGCAAAATATCCAATCAACCCATAGATATGAGAGCAAGAAAAAATATATTTGTTGTTATAAGATGCTAACATGTGTGAAGTTATTTTTTTCACTTCACATTATCACAGCAGTTACTTACCAATTCAATTTTTTAATGGCCTTACAACATTTCCTTTGACTTATCCTTCTCACATTCCTCTTTTGGTTACTGGAGCAGCACTCATAGCCATGAAGGAAGGAAATGACACATGGACAGCAGATTTCCTTCTCTCGGGACTCTTCCCCAGTATGAAGTACACCAGTGTCCTCATCTACACGATCCTCCTGATCTACCTCGCTGCCGTCACTGGGAACTCTGCCCTGCTCCTCCTGATATGGATGGATGTGAAGCTCCACATTCCGATGTACTTTCTGCTCAGCCAGCTTTCTCTTGTGGACTTGGCCCTTATCAGCAGCACTGTTCCCAAAATGATGACAAACTTTTTCTCTGGAAGAAAGAACATCACACGTCTCGCCTGTGGAACCCAGATATTTTTCTTCTTTACTCTTGGGGGTGCTGAGTGCATCCTCTTGACCTTCATGGCCTATGACCGATATGTAGCTGTCTGTAACCCCTTGAGATACACAGTCATCATGAACCATGCAGTCTGCCTGCAAATGGCTGCAGTTTCCTGGATTGGGGGCATTTTGGTTTCCACAGTCCACACATTTTATACTATGAATCTACCCATCTGTGGCTCCAGAGAAATCCGACATTTTTTCTGCGAGATGCCAGCAATCATGAAGATTTCATGCAAAGACACATCCACTTATGAGCTGGTGGTGTTTGGGATGGGAATTGTGTTTCTGTTCATCCCTTTTGGACTCATCACGGCTTCCTACACCTTCATCTTCCTTGCTGTCCTTCATATGAAATCCTCCAAAGGCAGGAACAAAGCCTTGACCACCTGCTCCTCCCATCTTATGGTGGTAAGTCTTTACCTGGGGCCATGTATGTATATGTACATGACACCTGGTTCCTCCCACAGCCCAGAGCAGGAGCAGGCTGTGTCTGTGTTCTGCACTGTCCTCACACCCATGCTAAACCCGCTCATCTACAGCCTGAGAAACAAGGATGTGGTGGGGGCCTTTCAGAAAGTCCTGGTGAGGCATTTGGTTATCAAACAGAACACATAGATATAAGGTGGAAAACAGCTATCTGGAAGGTCAAGAGCAGAAGTCTCAGAGCCTCCACACCCACACTTTCCAGCCCCAGAAACTTGGTTGGAGCCCTTTGGGCAAACCACATGGCTGAATTTAGTTGAAAACATTATTTCAATATAAATAGTTTGTAAAGAAAATATAAACATTAGTGTTTTTTTACTGGTTTAATAAAGTTTTATTTTTCAAAATGTGCAGCTGGTGGGTCCTGTGTTCATGCATCTTCACCAACAGCTGGGGCGTCCCCACTTTTGGTGTTTCTGGTGTAAATTACTTGAGCTCTGTGCTTTGAAACTACTTTAATAAGTCCTTTACTAAGGAGCTCCTGAAGGGCTGCCCTAGCCAAGGAACCGCAGATCTTCAGTCGCTCAGAGACGACAGCTGGGGTTATAAGCCATAGTTGGGAACTTCCTTACAGTGTTTATTGTATGTTGCTTTGTCAAACAAGACTAGGTTATTGAGCTTGTCCCAAACTTTGCCTTTGGACCACTTCTTCTTTTTGGCCTTGCCCCAGATTTGTTCACTGGGTCTTTGTCTTTTTTGGCAGACTTCCCAGCATCTTTCTTCTTCTTGTCATCCTTGGGCAGCATGGTGAAACTCAAGGAGCACTGGATCTCACTGCTACCTGAGAAGTAAACATTAGTTTCTAACCATTTGTTTCCAAAATGGATCAATTCAATTACTGTGCTTCAAACCATAGCATAAAGTTATGACCATCTATATTCATACCTGAAATATTTAGATATTTCTCAGTACCTTTAGGCTAAGCTCTGTCTGGTGATATTGGTGATTCAGGTCTTGTTAACTTCCACTAGCAGCAGTACCACATTCTTACAAAAGACAAATGTGACTAATATATTTAAAAAATGGTCTTATCAGGGATAACCATAAAACAACCTTTTTTTCCTCTTAAATGTCCTGACAAACTCAACATGTTGGCTGTATTCTCCCTGCCTGTGTTGGGTAGAAAGTTTTCTGGTCATTCTCAGATAAGCAAGAGTCCTATGCTCACGTATGGTGTACGTGATTCTCCTTTCCAGAAACAGACACACCTATCTTTGAGTAAAGGTAATGCCTGCCATGGGTAAGTGACTTGCCATGGCTTTCTTTTTGAATTCCTGAGCTTCAGCGGCTATCACTGGCTCTAGCTTTAGGCCCCTCATCCCATGTGTTCAGTGGTAACTCAGAGAGAGAGAGAGAGAGAGAGAGAAAATAAGTGTATCAAGAAGCTTAACCTACCTACCACCTATCTAGTGAAGGTACCCTTTGAACATGGAAAATAGTCAACAGACTTTCTGGAATCAGTGCATATTCAGAGCTGTCTTTTTTCTGGGGTTCTTCAGAACTCTGTAAGACACTGTCATTTATCTACATAACAAATGTGAAGAACAGATCACCTTTGATGCATAAAGATAAAAGCAATTGGAGTTTGTTGGGGTTGACAGTATATGCAAACTAACTGCAGGATTCACCAAAGAATGGAACAGATTGGACCATGAATAAGGTTGAAATAACCAATAGAGATATCAAAATTTCATGGTTTGTCACTACGACTGCATGTGGAAGCCCACACAGCATAGATGCTGCTAGAGCCTGGAATGAATGCTGCCTCCACCACACAGACGCAGGCCCACAGAAGGTGCCCAGTCTCTCCTGAGATTAAGGGCTAGCCTAGGCACACAGTGAGGCTGGTCTGTGCCACTCAGGGCCATTCAGGGCCATCCCACCTTTCAGTGACAAACAACAACAAAGACTTTCTAGAACTGTGAGTCCTAAAAATAAGGCCCAAGTCAAGATTTTCTTGAGCAGACAAAAATCCTTTCATTTCTGTGATGAGGAGGCTAGTTGATGTCAGTCTATATGAATAATAATGAAAAGTTTATGACTGATATATACTGCAAAATCCATTTGTAACTGAGCAAAAGGGGCCCATCTGCTTGATGTTACCTTGATACATGACCCAACAATTAGTGTTGAAGGAAATGGTTTTTTATTTACAGGATTCCAACCTCGCAGTGGTGGTGCTAGGAACACACCTGCTCAGAGCCCTTTCTCCCACAAGACCCAGAACTTCCCTAGCTCCCCACCAGGCTATAAGCCAAATGCATGTCCCAAAGTCTCCCATAATCTTATCTGTGCTTAAGCCAGCTACATAAACAGTCCTCCATCCCCTCTGGAAGGTACACTCATGGGTTTCAGAGTTGCCATCCTCTCACAGCAGCTCTTTCCTTCAAGTATGTTGTCCTCAGCCTCCAGGTAGTAGTCCACTAAACATGTGCTGTGTTACACTAGATCATGGTGGAATCAGGGAGGCACACATCCCAAGAGAGTAGATTCTCTGTAAGTCCTTCAGAGAAGCAGAAGTCTACATTCCTGCTTATAGTTTAGATCAAAAGCATCTCCTATGAATCCATGTTTGGTTAGGCAGGTTCCCACATGGCTCCATCAGCTTTGCTGGATCCCCACACAGTTCCATCAGCTCTCTTCTTACCATGGGTGTCAAACTCACCAGGGGTCACATCAGCCTCACAGTTGCCTTCAAAGGACCGAACATAATTTTTGGACTGTATAAATGTAACTACTCCTTAACTAGGGGCAAGGAGCTTGGCACTGCCACCAGGTAGAAACAAGGTGCTGGGCCAGATGAAACAAGGTGGAGGGCCAGATTCAGCCCATGGGCCTTATGTTTGCCACCTGTGCCTTACACCCTTTCTTCAGCCTGCATGGCTGCCTTCTTCATTACCCCAGGGCACATGGTGGAATCCTACTCCAGGCTGGCATGGCTTCTACCTTGCATACCAGCCCTCATGGTGGACAGCTTCACTACAAGCTGCATAGCAGCTTGCTGTGTCCTCTCTCAGGCCTCATGGCAGAATTCCCTACTGCATGGCCTCTTCCTCAAGGCCACCTCTCTTCTCTGTCTGTCTCTCTCAGTCCACCCTTAACTTCAAATGTTCAGCCGGAAACTCCCTATAATATCTCATATCTGGCCCCTCCTATGATGTGCTACTTTTGCCAGTTCCCCCATATCTCCTACCTTCTTTCAGCTGCCATGTTTAGTCACAGTAAGAGTTCCCCATAACATGGGCCTCTCTGCCTTCCTGCCTCCCTGCCTCTTGCACAGGCACTGTATAAGCTCCCCCTGGCTACATCATGAGTCACTATATGCTCTTAAAGTCACATAGTCCTTTCACCCTGGATGGCAGTCTGCTTCCCTTCAGGAAAGACACAGCTACCAACTTGCCATTGTTATGAAAAATAGTGAAACTTCCAGCCAAGATGGAGACATAGGCAGATACAGTTTGACTCCTCACATGACCAAAAGAAGGACAACAACAAATTTAAAAACAAAAAATAACCAGAACTGACAGAAAATCAAACTGTATGGAAGTCCAAACCAAGGAGTTAAAGAAGAAACATTCAGACTACTAGAAGGGGCAGAGACAGGCAGACGGGGTGGAGAGGATGCACATCAAGGTGTCAGCTGGAGAACCGGGCGGTCCCACATTCATATGTGGATAAGCCAGGAGGAACAACTGGAGAGTCAGACAGACCATGCAACTCAGGGTTCTAGAGCAGGAAAAGAAAGCCTCAAAACCTTTGGTGGTAAAAACCTGTGGGGGTTGAGGCAGTGGGAGAAACTCCCAGCATCATAGGAGAGTTCATTTGAGAGAACCACAGGGTTCTAGAATCTACACAAACCCAGCCACCAGGGAATCAGCACCAGAAGGGCCAAATTTTGCTTGTGGTTAGCAGGAGGAGTGACTGAAAGCCCGCCAAGAGCCCAGCAAGTGGTACTGTTCCCTCTCTGACCTCTTCCCTGATGAGAGCACCACTATGCAGCAATGTGGATTGCCCCACTCTGGCGAATATCTAAAGCTCCACCTCTTATAATGTAACAGGTGTGCCCAGATAAAGAAATATGGCCCAAATGAAACAACAGATCAAAACTCCAGAAACACAACTAAGCGATGAAGAGCTAGCCAACCTATCATATGCAGAGCTCAAAACCCTGGTAATCAGGATGCTTATAGAAATGATTGAGTATAGATGCAAAGTAGAGGAAGAAGTGAAGGCTATGCAAAGTGAAATAAAGGAAAATGTACAGGGAACCAGCAGTGAAGGGAAGGAAATCAGGACTCAAATCAACAATTTGAAGGAGTAGAACAAAATAAACATTCAACAAAATAGAATAAAGAAACAAGAATTCAAAAAAAAAATAAGGAGATGCTTAGGAACCTCCAGGACAACTTTAAATGTTCCAGCATTTGAATCATAAGTGTGCCAGAAAGAAAAGAGGAAGAGCAACAAGTGGGAAAGTTATTTGAAAACATAATGAAGGAGAAATTCCCCAATCTGGCAAAGGAAATAGACTTCCAGGAAATCCAAGAAGTACAAAGAGTCCCAAAGAAGTTGGACCCAAGGAAGCACACGCCAAGGGACATTGTAATTATATTACCCAAAATTAAAGATAAGGAGAGAATCTTAAAAGCAGCAAGAGAAAAGGAGACAGTTACCTACAAAGGAGTACCTATATGACTATCAGTTGATTTCTCAAAAGAAACCTTACAGGCTAGAAAAGCCTGGAAAGATGTGTTAAAAAGTCATGATAGGCAAGGGCCTACATCCAAGATTACTACGTCCAGCAAAACTATCATTTAGAATGCAAGGGCAGGTAAAATGCTTCCCAGATAAGATCTAGTTAAAGGAATTCATCATCACCAAGCCCTTATTATATGAAATGTTAAAGGAACTTATCTAAGAAAAAGAAGATGATCAAAAATATGAACAGTAAAATGACAACAAACTCACAACTATCAACAAATGAACCTAAAAAACAAAACCAAAAATAAACTAATCAAACAACTGGAAGAGGAACAGAATCACAGAAATAGAAATCACATGGAGGTTTATCAGTGGCAAGAGGGTGGAGAGAATGGGGGAAAAGGTACAGGGACTAAGAAGCATAATTGGTA